TTAACGCGAATTTGCTCCAATGAGATCGATGAATCGGTAAAGGCTGTTTGTTAAATGCAAACTTTTGCATATGCGAGTTTGCTCTTATGCAATTTCATTCCCGGCGCTTTAAACTTTCAAAGGACTAATTTAATCTCTGCCGAGGTACCGGGGTTATTTTTATTACCCGATTTTCTATAGGTCGGCGTCTTACATGAATGCAACTATCGCATAACAGCAGAGATGACTGTACACATCAATCACATGAAAGAATCGCAGTCAATCGCGGGGACCAATGAATTGTCTATTGTAAGTGTATAAAATATATTTTTTAAATTCCCTTTATTTTATTTATGTTATTTCAGAGCTTTAAATGTAATGCCATTATATTACTCGTAAAGTTTGAAGAAGCATCTATTACTGTATAGTGCAGAGGTTCCAAAACTTTTATACCTTGCGTCCCCCAAACATTTCATAAATTTCGCGCCCCCCTTCCAGAACAAGTGCAAGCAAACAGATTTGACATAAAATTTAGCTATGAGTATACAGCACTGTAAGACAACTAAACTGCCTCAACCAAGCAAAGGATGTTAAAAATGTTTCTCATATTTCGTTAAAAAAGTTTTTCATACAAACAACACGCACCCTAGAAAACCACTCGCGCGCCCCACATTTTGGGAACCTCTGGTATAGTGCAACATTTTACAAAAGGTTTACATCAAGAAGTAATATTCTCCTTTAGCTGCAACATTCACCTTCCTTCTTTGAGCTACAAAAACACATTTTTGTTGATCTGCATGGTGCTGACACCTAGCCAGAGAGCCATTTGAGATTGTAAATAACCACTGTTACATTATATTGCAAAGAAATGTTGAAAATTACCTTAAAATTGCCTTTTTTCCAGAAAGTGGTGAGAAAATAATGTTCATCAAAAACATTAAATTATTGTTGGGAGTGACTAAGGAGAACCATGAAAAATTAAATAGTAAAAACTAGTCTCTGGGCCAAAACATGAAGCCAGAATGCTAACAACTCTACTTTCATGTTTGGTTCTCAAAATGCATTACTGATTAATGGTTTCTTGGTGTGGGACTTCATTAATGCTGTTCTCACACTAACACTGAGATATGCTTGAATGCAGACACCGAGTTCTTCACTAAACACAAATGTATGGCAAATTATGTAGCTGAAATCATCTCAGAAATGTTAAAGTCTGTCAGGTTTCCCACGTTTTGTGAAATGAAGTTAACATTTACATAAGTTCATACTACTTACCATTCCAACGGTAGTCGAACAGAGGAGGCACAGGATGTTCCAAACTTGATGATTGTTTCCAGCCACTCCATTCTGTGCAAGTCTCTGGCTTCATGAAGTTACAGTCTAGGTCACTTGTTTCTCCAGCGAAATATGAGGCTGAGAACATGAAATGAGATTGAAAATTTACAGCAGTTTTTTTTCTAAAGTAGAGAACAGGCAAGTTACTCACCATGTCACATTTCTTTAGCATTTAGCAGAAGTATGGTATGAAAATAATAATTTAATTTTACTCAGGACAAAGTACTCTTGGTTCACGTAATGTTGTCTGTGCATTTACGTGCATCCTTCATATTTGTGTCAGCACTTATTTAGAAAATTTAAGGGGCACGTTCCAGTTCATATCTTTAGAACTGAATTTGTAATCAGTGTAATTAAATAATGATTTCGACTGCAAAAAAGTAAAAAAAGTGATATTGTTCTCTATGATGTTAATAAACCTCTAGTATATAGATGTCAATGTTTGTCTGCACAGATATGAACAGAATCATTCTGTATTGGTACTCATTCCAGACTAAAATTGTTTCGTATTGATTTGTCTTATCTTCTCTTTAATGCTGTAGTTCTGCCTTCTTCAAGGAATAAATGAACAGGAAAATAAGTGTGTAAATTTGCATTTACTTCCCACTCCCACTGTCTGTCCGCTCTACAAGCAGCTCATCCGTCGACGGATTACGCATGTCCGATCTGAGGCCGTCAGCCAAAGAAATTCCAATACTTCTCCCAAAGAACAATTTGTCTGATGAGATAATCTCCCACCCGTAGCAATAGCCACTGCTTTGAGAAGTCAAGTCATTATGCCAAGACAAGAATTCCGTTAGCGTAAACACGACGGCGTTGTAGTTTTAAGGCACAGTTTTCCATTCATAGCAATGCTTTTCGTGGGCACGAATGGCAATACCTAGTAAGGGACGATTACGTGCTCTTGCGCAGGATTCCGTCCTCAGTTAACGAATGCTGTGCAGCTGTTGCATGGTGAAGCTGTTAACGTACTAGACAACGCCCTATCAGGGCGACACAAGGATATCTATCATTGAGGCTTGGAAGGGACTTTATGGTGACCACAGGGCAACAGTGGCCTACATGGCGAAATGAAAGCGGCGATTTACATAATCGGCGAGACATCACATTAGTTTACCACACCCCTCGAGCAGTTGGAGCACCGCTCCCAGGTCAGATTTACCGTGGACGTCATAGAGAGGGAGGCCGTTCACTCATTCGTTGACGAGGTAAAAGAACGCGAAAAGATTCAGCACATCCTCATGGGCAACAAAAGGAATTTCAGCGATGCCCTCAGCCAGGTCTTGAACCTAGAGGCGGCGAGAGCGACAGCCGAAACACCACAGAAACTGCTGCCAATTAGACTTCCGCCCGCGTGAGAACGCTACAGCCACCGCAGGTAGTATGGAAACGTCGGGCACTTCAGAACAGACTATCGAAAAAGACCTACCAACGGGGTCACGGATAACCGTAACTGGAAGAACGGTCAAAACGATAAGACAAACTCCGGCGCGAATTCATTCGCCTTCCTGCCTGGTGAGAAGCAACGATTGTCAACTCTCCGCATTGCAGTTTTGAAACCGAAGAAAAAGGATCTGAAAGAAATGTTGGCGGAATTGTTGACTACCCAAAATTCGAAGCCCACGGCCACCACTGCAACATCGGAGAGTAAGAAGAACAATGTGAAAAGCCGTCAGTGTCGCCGTTGAGGTTTGTCAGAGCTTACCGCCGTAAGGTGGGAGCAGCTGAGCAACCAAGACGTTGGACAGATACAAAGAAGTGAAGGCTTGGCAGCATCCTGATCGAAAATACAATGCTGATCGTCGCCATAACAACAGAAGATAATAAAACAACATATATTTCCAGTGGGGCTGATCCTGGCAGGTTCCGACGCACTAAAGAAGATAAGAGATTGTAATTTTATTTTAAATTTGAATTGTATTCATGGGCCGTAAATATCTCTTGACTGAATTCTCTATGGGGTTGGTGATTACGTCGCAATATAACCATCCATCATTTATTCATAATTAATAATTAAAATTGTTAATAATAGAACAGAGAAATTTCAGCCTCCCAGTTCTTAATCTGGTGTGTTACGTCATTAATTCTAAAATTCCACATCAAAATCCTATCCTGAAACACGTAAACAGGGCTATCCAAATCTACAAGCTTACTGGCAACAGAAATAAAAAGGCGAAAAGAAAGTTTTTGCTTACCTGCCACGTTTAATCTATAATTCTTCGAGGTCCATGCCAGAGCTGAGGTTGCAGCATCTTCTTGGGCTACACACCACACTTTCTGTCCTTTCTTAATCATCGTCACATTTGGATATCCTAAACAAAGAATTAGATATAACTGAAATTTGGTTAAACTCAAATGAGAAATGAGCATAAATTTAAACTTATAACCACCTTTACATTAACAAACCAGTTGGAACTGTTTCCCCGGCCTGCTTTAACAGTCATTAATTCTGCAATTTGTAATTGTGGGTTAATTTATATTCTCAGTGTAAACGGATCATTTCCTCAAAGAGCAAACCAATCCATCTTAAAAATGGTAAAGAGCTGTGTTACTTTTTGCGAAACGGACTGTGGTCTTAGATGCTATTAAGACAAGATTAACGGGACGAGGGCGTCTGCGTGCTGCAGTGACGCCCTTCGTGGATAAGACCATTCCTCCGTTCGAAACATAATTCGAACTGGTAAGATGTGCCTTACGATATAACTGGTGATGTGATTGCTCTAAAAGAACTTTTGTCTTGGCTGAAGGCTTTTACATGTTTAGAGCAGGGCCTATTACTACTAGCGGGAAGTTGATCCAACCACGCAATTTATTTGTTCTTTAAACAGAAGGGAATGTTAGACTCAGAAAGTTGGGGATCGATGCCCATCCTAACCGAAACAACCAGCCAACCGACCAAGAAGCCTTAACCAAGTGCAACACGTCGACCTCTGC